ACCCATAAGAAGAAAAAGCACGTGGGAGGCACACAATAAGCAGGAAGTAAGTGAGACGAATTGCGTCCCTTTGCAAACTGAGATTTTCTTATAATTGGCCTGTTTACTTTGTCAAGAACTTTGCCAGGCCGCGTGCAGTGGCTCACACCTGTAATCCAGCACTTTGGGAGGCCAAGGCAGGCAGATCACTTGAGTCCAGGAGTTCAAGACCTGTCTGGGCAACATGGCGAAGCCCCGCCGCTACGAAAAGTCCAAAAATTAGCCGGGTGTGGTGGCTACCGTGGCACTGGGCAGGGCATGGGGAGGGCTGAGATCGCTCGAGGCTGCAGTGAGCTGTGATCGCACCACTGCACTCCAGCCTGGGTGACAGAGTGAGACCTGGTCTCAAAAACCAGAAAAGGAAAAAGAATTTTGCCATCTCTTCTTGCTCTGTTTGTCTGTCTGCTTTTTTCATTTTTGGGGGACATAAATGGGCCTCTGGTAGGCCAGCTGACTCTCAGTGGTATAAAATAGATTTAAAAATTCTACTGTCAGCAGTAGAAAAGAACAGACAACGCACCATCCCACTCTCACACACCCCTTCCATCACGACCCCTTGCATCACTGGTGGGCAGCAGGTGCAAGCGAGTGGGGCTGAAGCCCAAACTCCCATTCGGCTTGCCATGGTGATCCAGTTTCAACCTGAAAGTACATTTTGCCTATTTGGGGTGAGTCATAAATTAAGTCCATTGGTCAGGCAAAACCAAGCAAGGGAAAAGGTTTTTTGGGGGATGATCACAGCTGATTTTTAACATTTACGTAATGGAAACATCACAGTTTTAATTTATCAAGATTGTGTATTGATTATAGAAGATTCTCTGAACTTTAAAGCATACAGTCTGAACTGTCAGATACTGGACTTGTGCTGGAATGCCAATTTAGAAAATAAACCAGGAGACTGGAGAAATGAAAAGACAAGATTGACTTTCCAAAGACGTCTGGACATTCTCCAACCTCCAGCACCCCAGAGGGATGAGATTTCTACCCACCCTTAGGAAGGGAAAGGGAAATGCACCCCTTTCTTTTTTGTATAACTGGCCTCATCAGGTCAGATCTCAAGGCTTTGAAGTCAGGTTTTCTTATAGGGAAACAGAGAACAAAAACCGGCTTCCAACAGTGTAAACTCATGTCCTTCCACCAAACCCAAGTCAATGAAATCCTGTGTCATCATCGATTTGTACATCTTGGAACACAATAGCTCCAGCCTTGTCTAAATGTCCTTGTGTTCACTGGACACTCAAGGTTGAGGCTCAGTGGAAGTGAAATGAGCCCACGGATGAGCAAACTTGCAGGACACTGAGGACCTGAAGGAGGATAAGACCCAGAGTGTGTCACAGACATGCTCCTCCATGAGGAGCCAGTGTGCATGGCCAGAGCCAGTGTGGGCTTTTCTGTCCCATCCCAGAATTACAGAACTCAGGAAGCACCTTGTGAGGTCTGAAAAGTGCTTCTTCCTCCAAGAAAAAAGAGGAAGGCACGGCCTAATCGTTATGGAATTTTCTATAAAGAGCTGATAACAGGCTCAAAGCAAAAAGTTTACGAAACCAGGATGGTTTGTGTAAACGAATGTATAATAGCTTCATACCGGGCTCCAAGTAGCCAGAGGTATTGGGCCTAGAACCCCACTTTGGGATATTCAGGACCTGGGGAGACCTTTACTCAATTCCATTCCCACCCTGAGGTTCCTCTGGCAGACAGAACATTAGGCAAGTCATACAGTAAGTAGCCTGACTTGAGGCACTTGGGGCATTTTTCTAGAAAATATTGGTTTATTCAAAAGAGTAAGTAATGTGATAGAAAATGACATCTGTTGCTTGATAAGTTATTCTCTACTTACAAACTAGAAAATATGAATGCAATTAATTCAGTAGGTGTTTTAAAATCATTATTTTGAAGAAGGGTTTTAATTTCCATCTTGAAATTTCTATCTTGAAATGGTTACAGATGCTTATCACTTATGGGGACTACTTCTGTGGCCCTGAATTCGTAGCAAATATACAATAGAAAAAGAATGGCTGTTATTGAAAAGTCAAAAAACAACAGATGCTGGAGAGGCTGTGAAGAAAAACGAATGTTTGTACACTGTTCGTGGGAGTGTAAATTAGTTCAACCATTGTGGAAGACATTGTGGCGATTCCTCAAAGACCTAGAGGCAGACATAGCATATGATCCAGCAATCCCATTAATGGGTATATACCCAAAGGAATATAAATCATTCTACTATAAAGGCATATGCACCTGTATGTTCATTGCAGCACTGTTCACAATAGCGAAGACATGGAATCAACCCAAATGCCCATTAATGATAGACTGGGTAAAGAAAATATGGTACACATATGCCATAAAATACTCTACAGCCATAAAAAGGAACAAGATCATGTCCTTTGCAGGGACAGGGGTGGAGCCATTATCCTCAGCAAACTAATGCAGGAACAGGAAAACAAACACTGCATGTTCTCACTTGTAAGTGGGAGCTGAATGATGAGACCCAAGAGGGGAAACATACACTGGGGCCTGCCGGTGAGGTGTCGGGGGAGGGAGAACATCAGGAAGAACAGCTAACAGACGCTGGGTTTAATACCTAGGTGATGGGTTGACAGGTGCAGCAAACCACCATTGTACACGCTGACCCATGTAACAAACCTGCATATCCTGCACATGTGCCCCTGAACTTAAAATACAAGTTGAAGAAAAAAAAAAAGAAAAAAGAAAAAGCACAGAGAAGGTCGCTTTACACAACCGCATTGCTAGAATAGCAGACAAAGTCAACTCATCACTTTGAAATGACCAATTTTGAATAGAAAAAGTGCTACATGGCCGGGCGCAGTGGCTCACGCCTATAATCCCAGCACTTTGGGAGGCCGAGCTGGGCGGATCACCTGAGGTCAGGAGTTTGAGATCAGCCTGGGCAATATGGTGAAACTCTGTCTCTACTAAAAATACAAAATTAGCCGGGCGTGATGACACATGCCTATAATTCCAGCTACTCGGGAGGCTGAGGCAGGAGAATTGCTTGAACCTGGGAGGCGGAGGATGTGGTGAGCTGAGATCGTGCCATTGCACTCCAGCCTGGGCAACAAGAGTAAATCTCTGTCTCACCAAAAAAAAAAAAAAAGAAAAGAAAAAGTGCTACAGTACAGTAAGGGAAATGCCCTATTATATTTGAGGATAAAGAAATGTGTAAGAAGAGTGGTGACAGTGAAAATCTCTGTTTTTGGGTGAGGAATGGGCTTGACAAGGGATTTTTTTTGTGAAAATATCAGGAAAAAAGGAAATGGCATTGTTCATCATTAAAATCTACGCACATTTTCTCTTTAGGACAAAGTCATATATCTTTTGGGAAGAAATCTTCAAATGTATCAGTCCTAGTTTCTGATGAATTGTCTTTGTGTTTGCGACCATGTCTTCAAAATGAATCCATATTTTACTAAAATAGGTTTTGATTCATTCTACTAAAGGTCGTAATGACATTTTGTATTTATATGTGTAGCTTTACTAAAATATAATTTACATTCCATAAAGTTCACCCATTTAAAGCATACAATTCAGCGGTCTGGTATACTTACAAGGACGTGCAACCATCACCATAATCTATTTCTACAACATCATCATCCCCAAAAGAAATCTTGTACTCGTTAACAATGACAAAGTTTTGTAAACTTTGAGGGCTTTCCCTTGCGTCTCAGTGCATTTTGTTGAAGGAATTGCTTACTTAAGAAAAGTCAGAGACAGAAAAGAAATATGTATAGGAAAGATATGCCTACGTTATATTCTAAATGTGTTTTGATCTAGACTCTTTCCTCCTCCTACTGACACACTCAGAAGCAGTGAAGTCATCAGCTTTTGTGAAAATCCCAAAAGCAATTCCAGAAGATCATGTGCCAGCCACTCAGGACACACAGGCTTGTGTGGTTGTCATGGGGAACGTTTTGTAATTGAAATAAAAATACTCATGCTCAGTCTGCCACCACACAGAAAATGCTTTTCACTCACGCACACCAGATAATTCGCCTAAGTGACAGGTTTTACTTTGGAGGAAGCACCGAGCTAAGCTGGTTTACACAGTCAATGATGGCTCATTCCATGAAAAAGGAACTGGAAAGGAAGGCAAGGTGGTGAAGGTTAGCTAGACAATGAGGAGGTGCCAGCCAGCCAGGCAAGGCACAGCTCCTCCTGCTACTTTTAATGCTGTGGAGACACACAGGGACTTCATCTTTACCTCCTGACAGTTCCTTAAAACATGCACACGCGTGCGCGCGCACGCACACACTCTCTCTCCAATCTTAGTAAGTGAAAAAACCAAAACCAAAACCAACCAAACCAAACCAAGGGTCTGGCCTATTCTAGAAAGTGACTTTACATACCCTCATTCAACTATCTGTCTCCAGCCTTTCAGACAAAGCGGGATATAAAATAGAGTGTGTGTGTGTTTCTTGATGAGGTTTACACATCTCAGTAACACGCGTCAGGAGAAAGAAGCCAAAGCAAGGAGTAAAAACTCAAGCACGTGGGACCGTGAGTTGTTGGGTTATGTGCATAAAATATTTCAAGAGAGAGAATCTTATCAAAAGATAGATAGCTCCCGGTGAAATGATATGGAAAAAGTCCGAAGAAAACATCTCAAAATAAATGAAGTACTTATTGCTGAACAATGAGCTTAGAGCTCAGCCAATTCCAAAGTTCAGAATTTACCGCACCATTCAGGCCTCTCTCTCTAAGTTCCTTGTCTCTTGTTTCATTGCACAACCAGGGATTCTTCATACTTGCTATGAAACACAACAAGGCGATTTTTGCAGTGATAAACTCCACACATGCATGACAAATCCAAGCATGCAAAATGTTTAACATCCCAGTTCACAGATACTTTAGGGACAAAATCCGATTATGAATTATATGCCACAATAAATAGGGCTCAATGTTTCATAAAGCAATTTATAGTTCATAAAAATGACAAAATGTACCTGTCAGACAGAGTGCGGAGAGCCGTTCTCTGAGCTGCCTGTTGGAAGAAAGAAAGGGCAGAGATGTTTATTTAATATTCTGACTTTTGAATTATGTGCTCAATCAACACTTAAAAAAAAAAAAAACCCTGTGTTACACACATTTTTGCCATGTGGCCAAATTTTAAACGACTAGCAATGGAGTAGAAAGCACTGTTGTACAATGTGTGTGATGAAATGAACCTTCACGGAGAGTTAACTGAAGCCTGGCAACGCACACTTGCAACCAGGGAGTGAGTCTGGGGGCGCCAAAGGACTGCACCCAGGTAAGCTCGGACAGGCCTCCGGCAATTGGCAAAGACCAGAGCTACTTCTCTGAAATCACTTTCCCATTGTTTTATTGTTCTTTCCTATAAGAAAACAAAAAGGTCTGTTTTGCTTTCTTTGTAGCTTCTTTCCCTATGAAGGTGTAATTTCTCATTCGGATTTCAGATTGAAAAAGTTTCCACAGTTGGAATATGGAACGCCACTAGAAATCTCAAGGGATTATTGCTTTGTTTTAGGCATAATGATATTATGGCAAAGGTTTTTAAAAGTCACATAGAAATGTTAATGGATACAATTATCTGATGTTGGGATTTGCTTTAAAATAATATACGGGGAGGGCTGCGTGTGGTCCCTTATGCCTGTAATGGCAACACTTTGGGAGGCTGAGGCGGGTGGATCACCTGAGGTCAGGAGTTCAAGACCAGCTTGGTCAACATGGTAAAATCCCATCTCTACTAAAACCACAAAAGTTAGCTGTGCGTGGTGGCGGGTGCCTGTAACCCCAGCTACTCAGGAGGTTGAGGCAGGAGAATCGCTTGAAACTGGAAGGCAGAGGTTGCAGTGAGCTAAGATCATGCCACTGCACTCCAGCCTGGGCAACAAGAGCAAGACTCCATCTCAAAAAAATAAAATAAAATAAAATAAAATAAAATAAA